AGGCTGAGAGAGTTGGGGTTGTTCAGCCTGGAGAAGAGAAGGCTTCGGGGAGACCTTCTTGCAGCCTATCAGTACTTAAAGGGGGCTTATAAGAAAGATGGGGACAGACTTGTTAGCAGGGCCTGTTGCGACAGGACAAGGGGGAATGGCTTTAAACTAAAAGGGGGTAGATTCAGACTAGATATAAGGGAGAAATTGTTTATGCTGAGGGTGGTGAAGCACTGGCCGAGGTTGCCCAGAGAGGTGGTGGATGCCCCATCCCTGGAAACATTCCAGGTCAGGTTGGAGGGGGCTCTGAGCAGCCTGATCTAGTTGAAGATGTCCCTGCCCACGGCAGGGGGGTTGGACTAGATGGCCTTTAGAGGTCCCTTCCAACCCAAACTATTCTATGATTCTATGATTCTATATTAATGAAGAAAAAAAATCTATTCATTAGCAGGCGCTGAGAAATGGAAAATCTCATTTTCTCCTCAAATGCAGGGTTTGAATAGAGCTAGACTAACTACCAAACTGATGGACAATGGCACTAATCTTTTTTATTTTCCTTGACCTTCCATATGCAGATGAGTTCATTTTCACAGATTAAGCAAATTCAGCTCATGAATGGGTGTTGGTAACGGAGGCTGCCAATCTTTGTCTCTCCTTAAGTGAGATTCATGCTAAGCAACTGCTGCAAAACTTTCCATCCCCCAGGGTTTCCTTCACTCCCAGCACACATATTTCCTCTCATTTTTTTCTATTCCACTGATATATTGCATTCTCCAAAACTATGTTGCAAGGTAACGAATCTTTGTTTTCAGTAGCATACAGGAGCATTGCCCTGGGCTAGTTTGTGGGTTTTCTTAAAAAAAGTAATTTTTATCTAGAAGACCTTTAATTTCTTAGTGTGGCACCTTCACCAGCTATAAATCAAATAAGTTTGCTGAGCCTCATGAAACAATGCAGATTTACACCAGGTAATGCTAGCACATCCCTCACCCCCACCCAACACACTCAGAAAGCTGGCACTCTCCCCTCCACCACTGGATATATGGAATCATTATCAAAAGAATGTGAGATCGGAAAGACTGGCCATATCATAGAGAAAAATAACTGTATATTGCCCGAGCAGCAGTAGCTCATAAGAGCTGATGCCTCAGTACTGTACCATAAGGGGGCCATACACTGTGATTTAAGTCATAACAGTCAGACAATATCTACTCCCATGCAAAGATGGGCCAGTGTCAGCCTGTAGTAAACTCTGTCCTCAGGGATAAGTGAAGGTCAGATCTGCAGATATGTTATGTAGGTCTGAATTTCATACAGAATCATAGAATCATTAAGGTTGGAAAAGACCTCTAAGATCATCGAGTCCAACCGTCAACCCAACACCACCACGCCCACTAAACCATGTCCCTAAGCGCCGCATCTACACGTCTTTTAAATACCTCCAGGGATGGTGACTCAACCACT